TACTTTAATCACCGTTTTTACCTGTATAAGAATGATTTTATGTGGATCGAATCAGTCAACGAAATGGTTTTACATTTGTTTCACTTTTAATGTTGATATTCTTTTCCTTTTAATGGCTGAACATGACTAATATATGCGTAACCAATCTCTAGCTAAGGGGTTAAATAGAAGGTCACATAAAAAAGGATTCAATGGGGTCGAATTATTCACTTGCAAGTGAATAATTAAGTAAATAATTCATCAACGATGTTTCTTAGTTTATTTTGACAAAGTTGAACTAAACTGGCTGCTAAAAGCGAATTATTATTTCATTATTTCACTTTCATACATGATTGAACAAAAAAAAACCAATTTTTTATTTTTTTTATATCTCGTAGCTAATGCCCCTTTAACTCTATGCCAAAATGAAAAAATTTAGTTATCAAAAAGCATTCTTACAGAAATAGAGTTTAACAATTTACAATATGATGGCAAATTTATAAAGATATAGAGATAATTTTGAAAAAAGGCCACTACAAAATGTTCTTTCTTACAAGTGTGAAGTTCAATTAGTTTTTCAGTGTTGAACTGGTTGAAGCATATATATTATAAATGTCAAATGTATTCTAATAGTCCTTTTCTTTTTTAAACATGGTTTACATAAATTTTTAACCTCTAAAAGGAAAACTGATATTCTTTATAAGAACAAAACCTTTTTTTCTGTTGCACAAAATTTTGTTTTTTATGTGTTATTTGTGTCTATATCTATGGATTAAGAGATATTTCTCCAATAATAGTAGGTTTAAAAAATATTTCTGGTCAGACAATTTCATTAATGTGAAAATTAAGTATTGTTATATGAAGCTCTTGAGAAAGATATTATGCATTCACAGTATATTTGGTGGAAATTTTAGTTCACAGATCATTCAGCCAAATCAAATAAAAGAAATCTCTTGACAATATACAATAATTTTAATGGTCTTTCTAACATCCAACACTGAATGGCTCTCCAAAAGTGACAATGTCATCTTCTAGTTTTAAATGCACTCTTTTGGACCGTTTCAAAGCAATGCTTGATTAAAGTAAACCCTATTGATTCTGTTAAGAAAAACATAGCTAAGACATTTGATCTATTAGTTATCAATATCACATGAAGAAATATAAATATATGATCTAATTCTTCTACTATTATTTAGTTTATAAATTCATTATATGTCTGAGGTCAGGGATATAATTATGACAAACAGAACTAGAAAATTTAATATACAGAAAAAAATGTTGACGCTAATAGTATTAAGTCTGAATTTATTGGACATTTATTATATTTATTCTATACAGCAGTTGAACACACTGTGAAACAATTGAGTTTATCAGCAGTTATAAATAAAGGAGAACTCTGAGCACAACATGGAACATTACCACCATGTCAACAACAGAACTTAGATCAAGTGTATATCACAAGCAACAGTATTGTTTTTGATACAAAGAGATGTGGGATCAGTCCACACTGATATTGGACAATGTGGGACAAGCATTAGATTATTAGGGAGGTTTGCAATTCAAATTGGGAAAGTGGTGGTATTAAAGCAGTTTTGAATTTCAATGCGACCATAACTCAATATACTTAATATCTAATCAATTGATTCTGGCATTACTGAATTAGGTGCTGAAAACTGATATTTTCAGCAATATTCTACGTCTAAGGACCACAACTTCAACCAGAACATGAATCAACCTTAATCTGTAACTTTTTATGACATGAAATGTTAACTTACTAACTAATGACCCAGTTATTAAAGAGAATATAAGGAAAACTAATAGTTTATATATATAATTAGAGCAGTTGTATATTTTTTCTTAGGCCATGATTTAGTCATTTTGCATACAAAAAACCATGGAAAAGTTATTTAACGACTGCAGGGGTCGATTTTAACAATGGAGCAGTGATGGGAAAAGCCGACTGGCCCTTTGGCAACATTTAACAATGAGCAGATTATTTGACAATGGTGTATAATAAGATAATGATGGCAGTGCACTATTATAAAACAGGTCATGAAAATCCAAGATTAACTAAATAAACTGTTATCACAGAGATATGTCTCGCTTTTTTGTAATTTCGATAATGCAAATGTTGAATTTAAAAAAGCAGCACTTTCACATGTAAGTTTGCAAATATTCAAAGTCAATAAACCATGACTGAAGGTAAATGGCTAAACAATCTCCTTGGAAATGGGATGTGCAAATGCTAATACAACTGCATACCAAATACCATTGACTTATCATAAGTAGTTCTCTTTAAACAAACCTAAACACAAACTAATACATGTAAACTAAGCAAAATTAACCATAACTGAGGGGGCGGGGTCAAATAATCTCCCGGGTAATGAGATGTGCCAATGCTAATACAACTGCATACCAAATATCATTGACCTACCATTCGTGGTTCCCAATAAACCGACTTAATCACAAACTAATACATGAAAACTAAGCAAAAGATTCAAAGTCAATAGACCATGACTGAGGGGGCGGGGCCAAATAATCTCTAGGGAAATGAGACATGCCAATGCCTATACAACTGCATACCAATTATCATTAACTTACCACTAGTGGTTCCCCATAAACTGACCTAATCACAAACTAATACATGAAAACTAAGCAAAAGTTTCAAAGTCAATAGACCATGACTGAGGGGGCGGGGTCAAATAATCTCCATGGAAATGAGATATGCCAATGCTTATACAACTGCATACCAATTATCATTAACTTACCACTAATGGTTCCCAATAAACTGACCTAATCACAAACTAATACATGAAAACTAAGCATAAATTTCAAAGTCAATAGACCATAACTGAGGGGGCAGGGCCAAATAATCTCCATGGTAATGAGATGTGCCAATACTAATAAAACTGCATACCAAATATCTTTGACTTACCACTAGTGATTCACCATAAACTAGACCTAATCACAAACTAATACATTGTTGATGCCGCCGTCGCCGACGCCGGAAACAGCATACCTATGTCTCGCTTTTTGACTCCATCAAGCGAGACAAAAACCTAGGATATTTAACATAGCAGAAGTATAATCTTGTTCCACCAGTTTTGTATTATTACCTGTTGACCCCATTCAATGACAAATATGGCATCAATGGCAGAAACTGTCTTTTAAAACTATGCTTTAAATTGATGGAGAATTAAAATTTTATAGAAATGTGATGGCCAAAATGTTTCTAAACTGTCTAACAAGAATCACGTTGTAGTGTTGATCTGCCATATGTTGTAATCTAGATCTGTATTACAACATACTAGATCTGTATACTAGATCTGTATTACAACATTTTGCAGATCAACACTACAAACCTGATATATATATATATATATATATATATATATATATATATATGAGGTTTGTAGTGCTGATATGCGAAATGTATACATGATATATATGAGGTTTGTAGTGCTAATCTGCGAAATTTTGTGGTTCTATATAATTTTTAGTATTTAACATCCACTAGTAGCTAGTTGTACAGAAACTTCCTTAGTGTTTATCATCCACTAGTAGCTAGTTGTACAGAAACTTCCTTAGTGTTAATCATCCACTAGTAGCTAGTTGTACAGAAACTTCCTTAGTGTTTATCATCTACTAGTAGCTAGTTGTACACACTTATTTAGTGTTTATCATCCACTCGTAGCTAGTTGTACAGAAACTTCCTTAGTGTTAATCATCCACTAGTAGCTAGTTGTACAAAAACTTCCTTAGTGCTTATCATCCACTAGTAGCTAGTTGTACAGAAACTTCCTTAGTGTTTATCATCCACTCGTAGCTAGTTGTACAGAAAATTCCTTACTGTTTGATCATATTAGCATTGGAAAGGTTGCCACCTTATTGACATCTACAATTTACCTTTATACAAAACAGTGAAACTAAATTTGCTTTACTGTACTTTAACCTTTGCCGTGTCACACACAGTGAAGAATTCAAAGTGCAAACTCTTTACCGGGGTCTCTTGTTAAAATCATTTATCAAGTGGATAGATGCTGTTAACCACTGAATGAATATAGTGGATTCTATATTTGGTAAACTTCAAAACCTGTTTTATGTTCTGAAAAAACAGACCCAGCTAAGTCCTGTATCCAATATGGATTTACATTTCAAAGGTTGTAGCTCATTTATTAACATGATTATCATACTTAAAAAGTGTTATGAAATACAGTCAATTAACCCACATATATTTTGTGCCTGTACCAAGTCAAGCTTTCTGGACCAATTGTTGGTCATTGTGTTTTGTTTTTATTAGGAGTCAGGTGTTGGTCATTGGTGTGATCTGTTGTACCATCAAATATATCTTTGTTATTTCCTATCATCCTTTTAACATAGTATTTAATATTGTAGAAGACTTAAGAAGCATCCTTTAGCTATAAGGATTAAGGGTTTGTCAGCGAGATGCTGTTGTAGTGTTTTTTCAAATGTACATTAACCTTATCTCAACCCATTTAATTTACTAAACCAAGGCTATCACCAGTTTATAATGTAACAATTTTCTATCAACTATATATAAGAAGTCTTATATCATTGATAAATCCAACAGAGAACTTAGTAATTATATTATATACTGATAATGATACTAATAAGATAACAAAATGTGGTTAATGCAGAAAACTTGTTATTGTTCTCTTCGATCAATAATTTTCAATAAGGAAGAGGATAAATTAAACTGATGTGAAAAGTATATTATGTACATGTCTTATCCTTTAAAAGGTTTAACACAGTAATTGGAAGGTTACGTAAACTATTTTCTTTACCTGTTTAAGAACATATGACTTTCAGTTATAACTATTCCTCAAGGAAAAACATTCTAGCATGCTATCAGCTACCTGGAATTTTAGACAATTAATTTTTTACCTGCAAGTTATGATACTGAATCATTCTTTATGAAAACAATAAATAAAATATATCAAGCAAGATAGCTTTAAGATATAAGATACCAAAAACATAAAATATGACATTTCACAACCTACCTTTTTCTAAATACTGCTCTAATCCACGTCGTCTAGCATCCAACTGTTGCTCTGACAACTGAAATAACTTTTTTCCAGGTATTTTAGGAAAATTAAAGTCTGGAAATTCTCTTTTTAATTTATTATGTAAACAATCAAACTCTCTGTATCGTCTTGAACACAAATGTCTGCCCGCCATGTATATATTGAACACCTAAAAGAAAACACATATATTAGCAGTTAAATATGACGAACATGAAATATGGCATAGACACAAATCCTCTGTGGAACAATATAAGTTGTACTCTAAAGGCCTTTTTTCGTTTCCTCTAGTTGTTAGGTTGCTGTTTTCCCAAAAATATATGGAATGTTGTTCACAGACCAACCTATCTAAATGACTTTAGTCTACCTTTAACAGCCATTTTGGATTGTGGGCTGTTGGTGTACCCTAAAAATTATTTTTCTTATTTTCATTTTTTTTACTTTCAAGCTGCCCATATGAATTTTGAATAAAGGGAAAGTTAGAAACTTGTATCATGGAGTCAGATACATAGATAATCAGTTTTATTTTCATCTTAAAATGTGTTTTTATGTGAAATGTTAGATTATAACAGACTGATGAAATAAGACTGATAAATCTTGTATGTTTAGTATTGTGATACAGACATGTAGTTTCCTATGTTAATGATTCACAGAAAACTTTCTTTCAGACAATTTACATTTTTAACAAATAAATTGCTATATTTTCAACAACCAAAAGGATATTTGAAATTTAATCTTATGTCATACATTAAAAGAATGGTAGGTCATTTAATTAAACAAAACCTATGAAATATGAGGTCCTTGAGTCCTTCTACCTGATTTGTTTCAAGATTGTAAATATGTTATCAGAAGCAATAAGAATCCTTTCAATGTTTGTAACAGACCTACACATTTGTTATAAGATATACATTAGAATGATACATGATCAGGGAATGAAAGCATCACAAACCATCCAAACAACCACAACAAAAAGTCTCTTTTGCTATTTTTTCATTTTTTTCTGATAAGGAGTTGAGTTCCTTGATCATGTTGATGGTTGCTGAACAATTACCTAGTCAATTTATTTTTGTATCAGCATTGAGGAAACAGGAATTTTGGTATCCATATAAATTTTTTTTAACCCTACTATCTCTTGGAGTCATTTAAGATAATATCTTCCATAATTGGATGAAACTTTATCATATATCATTTATAATATGATTTATAAAACAATGCTGACAGTACAATAAAAAAATTCCCATGTTTTTTTAAACATAAATAATTTCATTATACATTATGATCGATGTAAACACTGAAAATCAAATTTCCCAAGTTAACTGTAACAAAGTAACTTAATATGGACATAATTTTATATCTTTCCCTACTTAATAATGTCATCATTCAAATTCAATATTCCAAGCACATTTACATGATAAATCATGTAATCCGATTCTTGATAGAAACTTGATAAAATTGTTGATCTTTGTAGAAGTGTTTCACACATTTGTCAAATGCAATCTTCACGATAAACTTTTAAATCTACAGGCCCTGCACTCTATTTTTGGAAATGTTAGTTCGATTTTGTTGGCCTGTAGAGATGATTTTTACAGACCCAGAAGCAATTTTACAAGCCTGGGCTGCTGGGCCTGTGGTTAAGTATGAAGACTGCAGGGCCTGCTGGGCCTATGGTTAATTATGAAGACTGCAAATGGAAAAGGAAATGGGTAAATTTTTAAAGAAGATTGAGGTACTTATGAACCAACAATACAGGCAATGGGACAGAGAAACTCAACAAGTTATAACCCTCATTATACTGTGTAAGACAACTGTAAGGTTAAAATGTAAACTAATCAAATTGGCAAAAGTTTGAAATGTTGATCAAGGTCAAATGAACAAGCAATGACATTTGAAAATGAGACCATAATCAATGAAATCAGAATAGGACACATTAGTGAAATTGGAAAAAATAATGATATCATCAATGACAATTGGAAACTGAGACCATCATAAATGACATCGGAAATATATTATCAATTATGACAATTGGAAACTGAAACCATCATCAATGACATTGGAAATATATTATCAACTATAATAATGGAAACTGAGACCATCATCAATGACATTGGAAATATATTATCAATTATGATAATGGAAACTGAGACCATCATCAATGACATTGGAAATATATTATCAATTATGATAATGGAAACTGAGACCATCATCAATGACATTGGAAATATATTATCAACTTTAATAATGGAAACTGAGACCATCATCAATGACATTGGAAATATATTATCAATTATGAAAATGGAAACTGAGACCATCATCAATGACATTGGAAATATATTATCAGCTTTAATAATGGGAGCTGAGACCATCATCAATGGAATTAGACACTGAGATCATCATCTGAAATTGGAAACTGAAAACATCATCATTGAAATTGGAAACTGAGACCTTTAGTTATCTAAAACTTAACACGGAATTGTTCACATCTAACAAATGTTTTAACCATATTAAAAGTAAAAGTTTTATTGAAAAATTCTATAATATTATGAAGCAACTGTGTCATTGTCAAATATAGGCTGTGAAAAATTCAATATAAAATTATGTAGAAAAGAGTGGACAAAATTCATGTCTTGGAGTTTAGCATTGGGAGAAAAAAACCCGAAACCCTTACATGGTGTATGATATACATGTAATTATGTTGGTTAGTTTAATCCCAAGGCATAATTTAGGACATTTGTGTCTTGACCATCCTCCCTATATGTCGAAACAGAAAAAAACATGTTTTGCAATGAGAAACTCAAAATATTATTCAGATAAAAATAATGACAGAAGCTCAATTACATGTTGGATGAACAAATCTGTCACATTGTTCTTTTCTAATGCTTCCAGAAAGAGATTTTGAATTGACAGACTTCCCTATGTAGAAAAGACAAGTAACCTGCTTTATCATGGGCCAGGAAGGGAAACCCCATGAATATGATGGACATAAAATAAATTGTAGCTTTCCTAGGCAATGTTACTTTTCAAATAGTACACTAGATACAATTTCAAATAATGTGTCATACTTGTTGCTTAAAGATTAAACCTATTTGCAGTAATGTGTTGTTAAAAACCATAACGGAGAACTCAAGGAAAGTGAAATATTACTTACATGCATATAACCAAGGGTTTCTGAGATTCCTATGCATAAGTACATACATTTCAAACAATAATCACTCAGGCACCAAAATAAAGGTCATGGTAACCCAAAATAAATGAAATACATGGTATGTTATACTGTGTAAGATTGATATATCATTAAAGATTCTACTATATAATATAAAGGTAAATGTTATATTGAAATTTCATTGAAACATCACTATGGTTTCCTTAGAAATGAACCTAATAATTATTTATTCCAGGACAAGAAACTAAAAAACATTCTAAAATTTGCAAGCACCTCTTTTTCTGTTACTTCAATAGACATTAATGTTTTCAAAGCTATTTCCATATGTTGTGTTCACCTATAAAAATAAGTATCCTCAAAAAGTTTGTAAAATTACTATTTTGTGGGGGTCTTCATTTATAAAAGATACCAAAGGGATATCCAAACTCATAAGTCGAAAACAAACTGACAATGCCATGACAAAAAAAGAAAAACAACGAAAAGACAAACAACAGTACACAAAACACAAGATAGATAACCAAAGACTGAGCAACACAAACCCAGCCAAAAACTAGGGATGATCTCAGATGCTCCAGAAGGGTTAGCAGATCCTGCTCCACATGTGGCAGTCTGGCACCCATCGTGTTGCTCATGTAAGTACAAACCCAGTGATAAGTCTAATATGGTAGGTCACAGTCGAGGAAAAGAGGACAGGATTGTGTTTATAAGTTGCATCGACTCAAAAACCACAAAATTTGATTTAACCAAAAAATACAAACCTGTCTGGTAAAGTACTGTTGAATAAATTTTATAGAACTCACCACAAATTTGTCTCCAGCATGCTCTATGGTTTGATAATCTGGTATTGAGATTGGTAGTGAGCGTCTTTCAGAATAATCAATGTATGAAGGACCAGAAGAATCATCACTGGGTTCCAGTCTTTCTGCAACTTGATCTGGTACAGATATAACTGAAACAAATTGAACATAAATGAGTTCAAATATTGTAGCAATGCATAAACACAGTTGGCAAAGCAATCGATTCTCCCTGAATTCCAACTCTCTGTAGAGGAATTAACCTTAAAAATGGCAAATATATTTATCTGATGATGAACATCAATGTTCCAAAATAAGAAAGATTCTACTCAGTGTGGAAATGAGATGAGCCAATGCCAACACAACTGCATACCAAATATCATTGACCTACCACAAATGGTTCCCCATAAACTTACCTATAAATCACAAACTAATACATGTATGTAAACTAAGCAACAGTTTCAGTCAATAGACCATGACTGAGGGGGCAGGACCAAATAACCTCCATGTAAATAAGATGTGCCAATGCTAATACAACTGCATACCAAATATCATTGACCAACCACTAGTTGTTCTTCATAAACTGACCTAATCACAAACTAATACATGTAAACTACGCAAAAATTTCAGTCATTGACTCAATAGACCATGAATGAGGGGCAAGGCCAAATAATCTCCATGGGAATGAGATGTGCCAATGCTGATACAACTGCATACCAAACATCATTGACCTACCACCAATGGTTCCCCATAAACTGACCTAATCACAAACTACATTTTTGACGCCCCCGCCGCCGACGGAAACAGCATACCTTTGGCTTGCTTTTTTACTCTATCAAGGCAAAATAACAACAAAAGCACAGTTTATCATGACTAAAACCTGTATGCATGAACAAAAATACATGTACATGTGTAATTGTGTACCTACCTGTAAGTGTCAGTTTATCACCACCTGATTTTATCAAGTCTACTACTTGTTTATGTGTAGAACCCTCAACACTCACACCATTTCTGTAATATATAAAGAAAAGCTATAAATTAAAATATGTACATATTAATGGCAGTCAAACATATGGTCAGTCAGGACACAGGAAATTGACTTGTATTATTTTTGGCCTAAGTTATTGCATCTTTAAATAATTCATTGCACTTTTAATATTTCAAATCCCTAAATCCAGGGGAGGGTGGTAAATCCATATGCACTTTAGAGAATTGTTTTAGTTTTATATAATTAGTAAAAGGAGATATTGGTTGGACCTTTATACTGTAAAACAAGGGGAGACGATATCAAGGTAATCAAAACCATAAGTCATAAATAAAAGAAAACACTATGAACAAAAGAGAAACTACAAAAAAAAACAACAGTCTAAAAAACGTACATTGCACAGAAAACTAAAGGTTGAGCAGTCATAATGCATAATCTAAATCCATTTCTCCATAATGTTTCCTAGTTCACACTTTCTAAAAATATACTTTTACCTCCTAAATTAAAAATGTAATTAATAGTTAACTGACAAAAATTATTATGTGAATCTATAGATATAAAAAGATGTGGTATGAGTGCCAATGAGACAACTCTCCATCCAAGTCAAAATTTATAAAAGTAAACCATTATAGGTCACAGTACGGTCTTCAACACGGAGCCTTGGCTCACACTGAACAGTAAGCTATAAAGGGCCCCAAAAAGTTACTAGTGTAAAACCATTCAAACGGGAAAACCAACGGTCTAATCTATATAAAAAACGAGAAACGAGAAACACTTATGAACCACATCAACAAACGACAACTACTGAACATCAGATTCCTGACTTAGGACAGGTGAAAACAAATGCTGATATTAACCTATAGTATAAGTTTTATAAAAATCTTGCAAGAATTGTACCTGTGAGAGCGCTAACGAGGCCATTTTCCATTAATTCAATATTTCCAAGGTGCATACATTTGTAACTCTTTTAAAAAAAGTCGATCGGCCACCATTATAAAGCTTGTCTGAGATATTGCTGATATTAACCTATAGTATAAGTTTTATAAAATCTGGCAAGAAATGTACCCGTGAGAGGCCATTTTCCATAAATTATATATTTCCAAGGGGCATAACTCTTTTAAAAAAAAGTCGATTGCTGATATTAACCTGTAGTACAAGTTTTATAACAATCTGCCTATCTGGCAAGAATTGTACCCGTGAGAGCGCTAAGGAGGTCATTTCCCATAAATTTAATATTTCCAAGGGCATAACTCTTTTAACAAGCATTCTGAGAGTATTGAATGGCAATACATAGTCCCCTACCGGGAAAAAAATCATTTTACTGGAACAAAATGCTAACTTGTTCTATAACTTGTCATGGTGTAAACAAAAAGTAAATATCATGTCAATATCTTCAAGCATGACTAAAAACAGTGTAGAAAACTGATTATATGAGCGAAAAAAAAAAACATTAGATATGATTAATAGTTCTCTAAAATTAGATATGATGTAATACAGTGTATATTTATTTTCAAATTATAATCAAATATAATTAATAGTTCCAAATATTTCTTCTTTCATTTGTCACAAACTATTATAGATTTGTTACTTATCTATAAAATGTCAACAACTTTTATCTACACAATGTAATGTATTGAAATACATGTATATACATTAATAAAAATAGATTATTATCTAATTAAAGGATTTCTCTTCATAATTTTTTTTTATATATATAACATTCAGATAATTAGTTTATACTAAATAACAAACAAACCTGTCAAAAAATTCTTCAAATAATTTATCAAAGAATGTCTTTTAAAACATGAGTTATCTCCCTTTGTACAGAAATATGGTTTAACATAGATATGTATAGTACTCTAACATAAGATATGGTCCAGAGTTATGATGGTCCATAACTCTGGACTAAATCATCAGACAGGAACAAAATTCGAACTTGATCTATAACTTGTCATGATAAAACTATATACCAAATATCAAATCAATATCTTCAAGAACGAAGAAAAAAGTGTGGAAAGCTAATTTGCCGGACTGACGGATGGACAGACGGACGGAGAGCAAACCTTAAGTCCCCTTCGACTTCGTCGGTAGGGGACTAAAAAAAGTCGATCGGCCACCATTATAAAACTTGTCCGAGATATTGCTGATATTAATCTATAGTATAATTTTTATAAAAATCTGGCAAGAATTGTACCTGTGAGAGCGCTAACAAGACCGGACGGACAGACACACGGATGGATGCCCGGTATTTCCATGCCCCCCGCAACCTGTTACACGGGGGACAACTAACAACATGAATAATTACAAGTTTAGTTCTAGGGCGTAATGATATTGGACTGCTTAAATGGATACTTTAATTCACATACATAAATAAAATTGATTATTCAAACATATACAAAAATTTATAATATTTTCTTGAAAATGTTTGATTTTTTATAGGTAAATAGAATTACGGGTGACTAAATTACCTGGGCATTACCTAGGTTGAAATGAGAAACTTCTTCTCGTAACTTTCGTGCATCTGTGCACGTTTTGAGTATTTTGCGACTTTAAATAGAACATTTATTATTATCTAGGCCTAGGATATAGTAAAACTTAGTCTATGTCAACGGACAATCCGCTTAGGACATATTATTAGTGTGAATAATTTTGTTATTGTAGATGTTATCTTTTACTTTGGCCTTGTTGTGAACCTAACGTTGCAACTACAAATTCTGCTCACCTGGACACAAAGGTGCATTTAGGAGCAAATTGATAAATTTGAGAAATATATTTTTCTTGTTTGTTTTGAATTCGAACATTTAAATCATAATAAGGGATTTATTCATTGTTTTGCATTACTTGTATTATGTTTAATTACAATACATGTTAAGAAATAACTTAGGAACAATTACTTATGATTGTTTATTTTTTTGTAGCTTTTTACCTTCTCCTTGGAAGTTTGAAGTGAAATAAAGAATTACAAGAAACATTTTGTTAGTCATTAGGCATTACAGTAAGGTTATCAGGTGTCAAAGTTTAATAACTAGAACAGAAGCTCCCTAAATATGTTTACATAACAGAAAAAAAGTAATAATACAAGAGGCTCTCAAGAGCCTGAATAGCTCACCTGTATTTCAGAGGAGAAGATTTTCAAATGTTAGCAAACTTGATGAACAAATTGTGTAAAATTGTCTTTAAAGGGCAATAACTCCTTAAGGGGTCAATTGACAATTATGGTCATATTAACTTTTTTGTAGATCTTACTTTGCTGAATATTATTGCTGCTTACAGTTTATATATATATATCTATAATAATATTCAAAATAATAACAAAAAACTGCAAAATTTTGTTAAAACTACCAATTCGTTGGCAGCAACCCAACAATGGGTTTTTCAATTCGTCTGAAAATTTCAGAGCTGATAGATCTTGACCAATTGAACAATTTTACCTCATGTCAGATTTGCTCTAAATTCTAAAAGCTTTAGTTTTTGAGATATAAGCCAAAAACTGCATTTGACCCCTATGTTCTATTTTTAGCCATGGCTGCCATGTTTGTCGATGGATCAAAACTTTGGATACAATTTATAAACTAGATACCCTAAGGAACATTTATTAAAAGTTTGAAGGTATTTGGCCTTATAGTTTCAAAGGAAAAGATTTTTGAAATAGTTTACGACAGACGACGGATGAAGACGGATGCCAAGTGATGGCCCCGGTGAGCTAAAAAGGGAATTTTGAAGACTGCTTAAAACAATAAATTATTTACTGACTTTTTTAACAGCATGATACAAATGCAGGTAATGGAAAGTTTGAAGGATCTATATTCTGATGCATGGCTTCTTTTTTTCACCCCTTATATCTTATTTTAATAAATCACTGTCCATTAACATCCATGTAAATTTCAATTGATATAAGAAAAGCGAAGATTTAGAAAAGAATGTCTTATAAATGCATTCACTTGATCATGTTCATATTTTAAATTTGAAGTTATTTTTTGTATTTTTTTAACTAATATATATAAAACAACTTTTTTTCACAAAAAACTATGATAAAAATGTTTATTATCATAAAATTATTGTTCAGAAAACAAGCTGTTATAGTGTCTTGTTACAATATATAGGACAGAAAGTAACAGGACAAAAAGTCACAAATCAGTTTTAAGATAATTCTGTCCTTAATGGCGGACTTCATGGTGACAAGAAAGGTAATTTAAGTTTCGCAAATAGTTTGCATTAATTGACATCCTGCATGCCTAGGTATCCACTTCAGGAGAATCTATCGAAAGTAAATACAATGGTGTTGGTTCAACACATGGAGTTATAATTGTTATATTTTATTGTGAACCCCTGCATCCTAAAGGAATCAAAGCGCTATGCTAACAGCTCTGATCGGATTTGTGTTTTGTGGTAATGAGCATTGTGTAGAAATTTCATAACATTTGGTTGATGCAAACTAAAGTTAATAGTATGGAAACGAAAAATTCAGCAGTTTTTCCATTTGTAAAGGGACATAACTCTAGAACAGTAAAAGTGACGCCACCAAACTTCAAACTTGATCTGTGTTTTGTGGTAATAAGCATTGTGTATAAGTTTCATAACATTTGTTTGTAACTTAAGTTAGAGAACAGAAACCAATTTTGGGACGTACATACGGATGGATGGTCGGACATACAGATGGACAAGGGTAAAACTTAATGCCCCCTCCGCTAACGGCAGGGGCATAAGGGCATAAAAATGTTATCAAAATTTACTTTTTCTCATAAAAACATGAGGTACCAGACCATACTGACATTGAACGGATTTGAATATTCACATAAACGTATAAAAAAACAAAAGAAAAAGACTTACACTTCTAATATTCTGTCTCCTTTACGAATTCCAGCTTTTTGAGCTGCTCCACCGTCGAGCACGGCACTAACGTGCTGAAGAGGTGCATATAAAGTTCCATTTATTGATTTCAAAACACCACCTTCGCTAACCTGTCCTCTGACATTGAAACCAAACCCAGTTTCTGTCTTTGTTATTGTAACAATACGTGGACTACACTCTTCACCCGGGTCAGGCGAAGAGGGTGGACTGTTTTCATCGCTGTCAGCCATAATGGTCATGTGACCAAACTAAATTCATTTCCGGTTTACTTTTTTTTGCGTTTGATTTGTCTCACCACCAAAAATCTACAAAACGGATAAGTATATGGAAGTACCTTTTCAGTATTTATATCTGTCTTATCTGATTAGAATTTTATCAAATGACTTTGAATTCTTTAACTTCATTGGTCATTAGATGAGTTTAATGATGTCCCTTAATATTTCTGATTCTCACAGTGAAGTTATTTTTTTAAGGTCAAGGAACAGCTAGTGAATTGGCTATCATGGTCACGGATTTTGGTAAATTTTGCATACAACTTTGGCTTGTTGATATGTAAATGAAAACTGAAAAAAATGCATATATCTCTTTCTTTCTCTAAATATTACTGATTGGCATCTTTCAAAATATTTATAGAAAGCACTTGAAATCGGCGAAAAATGTTCTTAAATTTGTCTTAAAATCATCAAATCTCCAATTCAAGTTCAAATCCATAGTCTTGAAAAACTATATGTTGTTGATACACACATTTCCGATTTTATGATACAATATAATTATTGTCTAGTTGGTAGTGAAAAACGTAAAGAAAAATCGACGTTTTGTGGCTTACAACGCTACGCTTATTTCGACGTTTTATAACCAGTATTTTTTTTTTCACTTAGAACACGACTATGAATGAAGCATACCGTAAAAACGAAGTCGGTGACTCTATCAATATTTTAAGCATGAATTAGGAGTTAACGAATTCGTTGTTATTCTCTCGCAATTTTTTTTCTTTCTGTATGATCGATTCTTGTCTATAACGCATAAAATGAGTGACTGAGGGGACCGGAATAGTATTATACATGACGCGTTACATCTTGACATTATAGTCAGTCTATAAGATTAAAGTTGAAAATGAAATTGGTGTCTCCGTCTAAACCTTGTATTAACAGAACATATCATAAGTTTGTTTTGCAATCGAATACTTACATATCTGGTGATTTCTTAAGCAAATTCGTTTGGGAAAATTTTCGTAAAATCGTGAAATAGCTAATTAATCTCTCCGAGTACTGCATTGTCAACCAACCTCCGGTAAATGTGTCTTTACGGCAGACGGTCTGGGACTCTAGCTCTGAGATAAATGATGCAACATCCTGCATTATACAACAGATACGGTTAAGTCTGCCTCCTATCTTGACTTACATCTAGAAATCAATGACAATGCGGGTCGGTTGAGAACAAAACTTTACGAGAAAAAAGAGATGTTTTCAGCTTCGAAATTGTGAACTTTCCTTTTCTATGTAGTAAAATTTCAGCAGCACCTGCATATGGAGAATATATTTCCCAGTTAAAACGATATTCCAGAGATTGCATTTCCTCTCATGATTTTCTTGATTCTTGACAGAGGTTTGCTGTCTATAAGGAAAAAGACCTTTTGAGTTGGTTGACCGTCATTGGATATCTGTATCGAAGATGACGATAGATATGTTCCAATTGTCGTAACCACAATCGCGTCTTCTTTTCCTCGAAGATGACCTACCGAATTAGATTTATAACCGGGTTTGTACTTATGAGTAACACGAAGGGTGCCACACGTGGAGCAGGATCCGATTACCCTTCCAGAGCACATGGTGGGGTTCGTGTTACTCAGTCTTTAGTTTTCTATGTTGTGTTTTGTGTACTGTTGTTTGTCTTTTGGTGTTTTTTTTTTCGGTTTTTGCCATTGCATTGTCAATTTTTGTTCAATTTTCACTTTGGTATCGTTCGCCTCTCTTTTACAAATTATGTGCCATCTTAGATTATAAAAAATAAAATAACAAAAATACCGAACTCCAAGGAAAATTCAATTCGGAAAGTCCCTTATAACCCTCTTCGAATTAGTCGGGTCATTCTGATGAAAACTGGAGTGCTTATATTTTTTTATTGTTTTTTTTTTTACTTTACGACATATGGTCTAAATAGACAAACAGGGGAGTTTAGCAGGTTTAACCCTACCACGTTGTGTGTCTGTACTTATTAGTCTGTATGTATGGACCATGAACTGTTTGTTTTTGCTTTTCCGTGTAACTGTATATATAAATGAACATGTTTTTGGAGAAGTCGGGTGTCCGTCATTGGTGTGGTGTGTTATACCGTGAGTAATATCATTAAGTTGCACACTGCAACTGTCTTTTCAAAGTTCTTTGTTGGTATCATAGTAGTACTTTTTGTCCAGTCTGTGACATTTATGTCGCGAAAGCGAGACATAGCGATCCTAGATTCCGTCGTTTATGAAATTTGGACAAAATTTTGAAAATAATTATTTTCATTTTTCTTTATTTTACTGATAAATGGACTTAGTTTTTTGTTTACAATTAACAAGTAGATACAGTCTGGGGTTAAAAATCGTTACATCAATTAGTTTGTCAACCCTTCATAAATCTTTTTGAAACTTTGGCAGAAGCTTTTCTATGGTTAAGAGATATGTCTGAAGCAAACTGTTGAAACTATATTTTTTTCATTTTCAGTATTTTTCTGATAGATTGACTTTACAAACAATCTGGGATTTAACTTTTTTGACATGATAAATTTGTAAACCTTCATGGATTGTTAGGAATTTTGTACAGAAGTTAATCTTCAAGACCATGAAATAGCATCTAAAGAAAGAGTTTGGTTTTTTGCATTCTGTATTTAGATGATAAATGGATTCACTTCCAGTCAACATTACACTTTAACACTCACAGTAACAATCGCAGGCGAGACTGGCACAGGGTTCCGCGGAACCCCTTACATTTTTTTTTAAATAAGAGGCCATAGAGATAACATGGTCCTTCCAAAATATATTTACTGATCTTATATTCATTACTTTCTTCCATTGTATATCTATATAACAGCATTACCAGAGGGTAAAGAATGTTTTACTTGTAAGCTCCCCGTTTTTAGTTTACTTATACGTTAATGACAATAAAAATTGTCTTTCAGCAATTTCCAATGAGTTGTCTAACCTACAAATACTTTGAAACATTCCAGAGAATGTTTGTATCCTTTTTGGTCACTAGGGTTGCTCCCGATAGTGTATAAGTCATACCAGATACCTTGTTTGATATCGATAATATTCTCTATAAAAAACTTCAATATGTTGTAAGTTGTTGATTGGGGTATGGAAAAAAGATTTCCATGTGCAGAATTGGTATGACGTCCATTTTCACTGAACTAGTACACATTTTTGTTTAGGGGCCAGCTGAAGCCCGCCTCCGGGTGCGGGATTTTCTCGCTTTGTTGAAGACCCATTGGTGGCCTTGGGCTGTTTTCTGCTCTTTGGTCGGGTTGTTGTCTCTTTGACACATTCCCCATTTCCGTTCTCAATTTTATAGTAGTTTAACCCGAGACATATAGGTTTAACTGAACAATCCGGCCGCCGAAAACCGATCCGAAGAATTTCTTATATAGTCTTTACATAGTCTGTAACTGAGCGCTGGATCACTCCTCTATGCTCAGATCTTCAGTATTTGCTGATTTGTTTCGGTTCCGGTTCCTGTGTCAGCTTTTGCTCTATAGTTATATTTCATCTCAGTGTTTATCCAAAATTTGTCAAGTCGGCTCTCGAACGTCTGTATAGTTGGTGCATTAACAACACTGCTTGGCAAGCTGTTCCATATTGGCGCAATTCGTTGGGTGAAAAACTGTTTGATCTTATGTTTCCGTTGCACCTTTGTATAGCCAGTTTCTTGTTGTGCCCTCTAGTTACAGAAGTAGTGTTGTATGTTTAAAAGTTAGGCAACGCTTTATCGTATATAATTATTTCAGATGTTAGTGTGTAAGCTTCTATCATGTCACCTCTCATGCACCTGTATTAAAGTGTTGGTAATTTAAGCTTCTTCAAGCGTTCTTCATACTCTAGATCTTTCAGTGTTGGTATCAATTTCGTTGCTCGCCTTTGAACGTTTTCAATTACTGTTATATCTTTAACTTTATATTGGATCCATATAGCGTTGGCATATTCGAGATTTGGTCTTGCTAATGCTTTAAACAGTAGTAGAAATATTTCCTCATTGAGCCGGCAGGTAAATGTCCTTCTAATTAAGCCCACAATACTGTTGTCTTTCTTTATCTTTTAATTCATATGTTGCTCGAAGTTTAATTTGTTGTCGATGAGTACTCCGATGTCTTTTTCTTTCTCTAAATGCTCTCATGTGGTGTTACACAGGTTGCATTTGTGGTTGGTATGGCATGTTGTTTCCGGCCTGTTGTTAGCACTAAATACATTTATCGGGGTGAAATCTTAGCAACCAAGTATTTGACCAAGTTTCTAGATGAGATAAATCTGTTTGGAGCGCATCATTATCATCTGTTATTTGTATTTGTCGAAAGACTTTGGTATCATCGGCAAACATGAAGCAATCTAGGTCAAGGATTTCTGGTAAATCGTTTATATAGATGACGAACAATATTGGTCCAAGTAGACTGCCCTGAGGGATGCCGCTTGTCACTTGTTTGAATTCTGAGTAGCTGCTGTTGACACGTATTTGTTTTTTTACCACTTAAGAATGATGTTACCCATGTTATTGTCTCCTCCGCTATTCCATACTGACTCTCATGGGGGACAGTGTCAAATGCCTTCGTGAAGTCGAGGTATACGGTATCAATGGAACCTCCATTGTCAAGAATTTTAGTCCATTTTTCAAGAACGTGAAGTAGCTGTAGTGTAGTCGACCTTCCTGATAGAAACCCAAACTGGTAATCACTAAATAGTTTATTTGTTCTCATGTGCGACACAATATGGTCTCTAATTTCGATAACGAATTATTAAAATCATTGACCTAGCTAATATATTTAGGACCATAAATGTATTATCTAAGACCTAACGTGTCGTCGGTCATAGCGAGTGCGTCACAAGTGATTGCGAAAAAAATATGGTATTACGTCAGTGTAGTATTGCGAAGTACATTATTGTAGGTATTAGGTCATTTTGAAATATCCGGGATGTGGTCGATTGCGATTGCGCATCTGATACCAGTAAAAACATCAACACACTTGTACTGTGATTTTATCCCAGTTTATTTATTTGATAGTGAATGGCACAATTTACCAGAATTTATGGGTTGCAGGAGCAACCAGTAAGTCTTTATCAGTTGAAGCCGAAAAGTCGGAAACGCTTTGAATCGATGTCAATACATGATTTTTTACAATAAATTATATCAACAGTGATATGATCGAGAACTGTACAGTACCCTCGGGTATCGGAGCGGGATAAATTATCGTGTTCCTTAGCCTACAATAAATGTTTGGCCATGGTTCGTTCGCCAGTAGGGTTTGTTGTTCGGCTTTGATTCATTCCTCATAGTTTCAATATAGAAATGCATCTACACCAAAGCTTAAATAATTTTGGGTACAAGTCAAATACACCTTATGGCTATTTTAGTATTTATGCCAATCAGGATAAGTTCTAAAATAACACAACTTTTCCAAACCAGTTGAAGCTATCTTGGGGCCTTGTTCAAACAATATATTGTTCATATAACTTTTCATAGAGACGTGTTTAAACCATCGTAAACACATCAAACAAAGTATTTTTAATTACTTTAATTTGTTTTTTAAAAATGACAGTGTTTGCGCGACCCCGCATTTGGGGATGCGTAGCCAAATTGGCCTTTGTAGGCTATGCGTACTTGCCTCCAGTTTTATAATAAAATGTCATCGGATCGGGAATGAAATGTGAAATATACACAGAAATTATTGGTAATTTGCAGATTATGTGAATTCATGGAAGAGAATGGCAAATAATATTTTTTAATTTGTATTTATTAGTTAAAAATACATAATAAACATTGAAAATTAGATGCACACTAAAGTATTAAAACTGGACAGTCCCTGTAAAAGAAAACTTGATGAACAATTAGAAATTAAATGTAAATGCACATTAAAAGAATACAATTATACTGAATTTGAAAAAAGATACACATGTATGTAAAAACTTGAGTGTGAAAATAATTTTTCTAGTAAAATACAAAACAGAAACCAAAATTTTAAAATATCTAAAACGACTAAAAATAAAGCTTTTTAATAAGTATAATGAAATATTCCAGGTGTCCATATATAGGTCAAAATGAACAATGTTATGTATGATGAATAAATAATTTGAATTAATTATGTGTTATATCAGTTATATATGTATAAATAATCCATTTTATTTATATATTTATTTTAGAACTTGAACTGTTTTAATTTTGTTTTTCACACTTGTTTGTAATGCTTTTTAATTTGATTATCATTTAATTAAAATTTTACCTATTTTTACATATTTTGTCGAAAACTATAGCAGAAAGACCAAAACTGATCATCAGGATAAGATCTATAATAAAGTTAAATTGACTAAATCTTTAGTTGACTTTATATGAGTTATTGCCCTTGAATGATTTTTGCCCATTTTTGTGTTTTTGCAGAAACTATAGTAGATAGAGAGAAACTGTTAACAGCAACAATAATCATCAGAATAAGATTTACAAATAAACTAATAATTATATGATAATTTTTTCTCTTTATTTTCAGTCGGATCCTCCTGGAACCACAAAGTTACTTCGTATTAAAGTTATTAAAGGTGAAAATCTAGCCAAGAAGGACATATTTGGAGCAAGGTATCGTTATGATTGTATGAAAGTTATCTTTTTTTTTAACTGCTTGTAATGATAACTGTGAATTCATTATTACTCATCAGGTACCAATTTTCGTTGATTTAGTGGGTATAGGTTAATTTACAATTCATTGTTCAACGAAAACGAGGAAGTATAAGTTTTTTAGGCTTGTACAAATGTATGCAGACGAGCAAATCCTCAAAATCGATTATCCACAAAAAAAATTGCTCCTCATTCCACAAAAATTAGATGCACTTACACTTAGTGGTATGTATGAATGTATGTATTTCTTGTATTGATGATGATGATGATGATGATGGATGGCTGCTTAACGTCCAGCGGCAAATTAATATGCATATTCAGGACGATAAACGTGTTAATGTAATATGAATATTAACCCTGCTTTGTGTGAGACCGAGGTTGTTCTCATATTGAATAATTACTTAAATATATTGAAATACATATATGACAAACAGAAGACTGGTCATTTATTTGTTCAAGTTAAAAGCTGAAATGTGGTATTATAAGTATTACCTATAGTATAGTTTTGATATTTTACAGTGATCCATATGTAAAAATAAGTCTGTTTCGTGGAGACAGAGATACAGGGTATATAGATTCAGCAAGCACAACAGTTATAAAAAAGGTACATGATATAAATGCACATATTTAATCTGAAACTTTATTCAATAAAAGTATGTGCATTTCTACAATTATTTTATTAGAGATAACTTACTATTGTGACTCAAAGTGGTTATATTTTTGAATAATTACCTAACAGTTATAATAGTCCATTTATACTTCTGCTATCTTGCTTATTTTTCCCATGAACTTATATGAATAGGTTACAGTATTTTTACATTTGTTTACTCAAGTGGGGATGCAAAGATATGGTAGGTAATTGTTCATTCCTCTATCCAGTCTTCACAATGTATCCATTACGCCTAGTATACCAGTGACCGGATTTCGATGAAATTTTCAAAGAATCTTTGGTATCTAATGACATATACAATTCCTATCTTATTTATTTGTTAGATACATTTTAGGGCATTCCAGAGTAAATCATGGACTTTGCCCTATTTATATAAGGTATTAGAAAGCTTGTTCATGCAACTCTCCCAAATAACATTAACTGGATGTCAGTGTTTGACAGATTCTTTTTATGCCCCATCTAAGGGCATAATGTTTTTTGGTCTGTGCGTCCATTCGTTCGTCCGTCCGTCTGTCTGTCCCGCTTCAGGTTAAAGTTTTTGGTCAAGGTAGTTTTTGATGAAGTTGAAGTCCAATCAACTTGAAACTTAGTACACATGTTCCCTATGATATGATCTTTCTAATTTTAATGCCAAATTAGAGTTTTGACCCCAATTTCACGGTCCACTGTACATAGAACATGGTAGTGCGAGTGGGCAGGTTAAAGTTTTTGGTCAAGGTAGTTTTTGATGAAGTTAAAAGTCCAATCAACTTGAAACTTAGTACACATGTTCCCTATGATATGATCTTTTTAATTTTAATGCCAAATTAGAGTTTTGACCCCAATTTCACGATCCACTGAACATAGAAAATGATGGTGTGGGTGGGGCATCCGTGTACTATGGACACATTCTTGTTTTCACATACCATTATCCATCACTTATTTTATTTTTAAAACTGAAAAGTTTTGGGGTTTAATATAGCGACATATGGACTTTGTCAATTTTATACAAATAGTGTTTCTACAAGTGAATGTATGTTTTTCATTAAGGAGTATATAAGTTTTCTTGGTATCTTAACTTTTGTTATGCAGGTAAATATATTTATTGTTTTTATTGTAGTCACTAAATCCATTATGGCAAGAAGAATTTGTATTTAGGGTAAGTACATCACTTATTGTTTACAGTGAAACTTGGTTCATCTCTGGGACTGAAAATTTTGTTCAGATTGTACAAATTTCGGATTAAACAGTTGGAATAGAACTTGTATTCACATGACTACAGAACTAGTATTGTGTTAACATGTTTTCTGTTTATTCCAAGTTAGACTGGGTTGCTGTATTTATCTTAAGTCAATTTGACAGTAGGATGCATATTTTGTGTTATCATATTTTTAAAATAAGTTTTACATGTATTTTTTGTCTATATTTTGTTTAATTACCAATAATTACAAAAGAATAAAAGAAAAACTCAAAGATTCAGAAATTATATTGCTTAATGGAGAGGTAAAATTTTAAGGGAAAAAAACATGCACAGATGATGTAGATTATATTTGAACATGAAATTATTTTTTATTACAAAACAACAAATTAAGCATGTGGCTTTTTATTACAAAACAACAAACCTAACATGTTGCGATCTTTATATTGTATGCAAATTGTTGTCATTTCAAATATTAGATATCTTTATTGTCTCTGACTGCAACCAATAGCATTGACAGTTTAAAGACAGTTACTGCTTGTAAATTATCGTGGCCATTAATAACTAAGGGAATTATCAAAACAATTTACTTTTTCTATTATTTTCTTCAATTTAAATAAGTTATCCATAAGTTTTATCCCAAAATAGATAAGTTCTGCTTTAATTTGTTTTTAGTGATGCAAAGAAATTATTGAAGCACTTAGCTTTAAGTCTTATATATATATATATATATATTATAGGTGAATTCCAGAGATAACAGACTGCTATTAGAATTATTTGATTCAAACAGAGTGGTAAGATACATTCATTATATGAAAATCTATTGTATTTATAACCAGTTTTAATACGTGTACGGGACGTATTATGGTATACCGTTGACTGTCTGTCTGTCCGTACCTACGTACGTCGTCAACATGTTGGACAATAACTCAAAAATGCTTTTACCAATTTTCATGAAACTTTTGTGAATTGTTTTTACACGACCGCAAAAAAATTTTTGTGGTCGTATATTGGTATGATGTTGTCGTCGTCGTCTGGCGTCGTCGTCCGAAGACGCATTAGTTTTCGCACTCTAACTTTAGTTTAAGTGAATGGATCTCTATGAAATTTTACCATAAGGTTCAAAAAGGGGCCAAAATAAGCATTTTCTAGTTTCCAGACAATAACTGTGGAATGGTGTATGGATCTCTCTGAAATTATACTACAAGTTTCCATACCACAAAGGGATGGTTAGGATTTGCTTTGGGTGGTTATGGCTCAAACCGTTTAAGAATAAGGGGCAAAAAAGGGGGAAACAAGGTTGTCCTGGTTAATGGACAAATACTTTAGTACAAAACATAATTTAAAGCAGTGTAAGGGAGATAAATCAATTTTTTCTCATTTCAGATTTCAGAAATTAAAAAGAATTATTCTTCAAATATTTTTTTTTTTTCAAATTTCAAATATTGAAAAATTTCAAGAAGTAATCTTTAATTGCACAGTATGGCGCATTAGATTTGTAAAATCTTTGACCACATTTAATTATTTGTTATGCCAAATCTAACCGTGTATTTAGATTTTTAATTTTGGGTCCAGTTTTCAAATTGGTCTACATTAAGGTCCAAAGGGTCCAAAATTAAACTTAGTTTGATTTTAACAAAAATTGAATTCTTTGGGTTCTTTGATATGCTGAATCTAAACATGTGTTTAGATTTTTGATTATGGGTCCAGTTTTCAAGTTGGTCCAAGTTGGGGTCCAAAATTAAACTTTGTTTGATTTCAACAAAAATTAAATTATTGGGGTTCTTTGATATGCCAAATCTAACCGTGTATTTAGATTTTTAATTTTGGGTCCCGTTTTTTAAATTGGTCTAAATTAAGGTCCAAAGGGTCCAAAATTAAACTTAGTTTGATTTTAACAAAAATTGAATTCTTGGGGTTCTTTGATATGCTGAATCTAAACTTGTGTTTAGATTTTTGATTATGGGTCCAGTTTTCAAGTTGGTCCAAGTTGGGGTCCAAAATTAAACTTTGTTTGATTTCAACAAAAATTGAATATATGGGGTTCTTTGATATGCTGAATCTAAACATGTATTTAGATTTTAGATTTTTGGCCCAGTTTTCAAGTTGGTCCAAATTAGGGTCCAAAATTAAACTTTGTTTGATTTCAACAAAAATTGAATATATGGGGTTGTTTGATATGCTGAATCTTACCATGTATTTAGATTTTTTATTTGTGGGCCCGTTATCAAATTGGTTCATATTGAGGTCAAAAGGGTCCAAAATTAAACTTTGTTTGATTTCATCAAAAATTGAATTATTAGGGTTCTTTGATATGCCAAATCTAACCGTGTATTTAGATTTTTAATTTTGGGTCCCGTTTTTTAAATTGGTCTACATTAAGGTCCAAAGGGTCCAAAATTAAACTTAGTTTGATTTTAACAAAAATTGAATTCTTCAGGTACTTTGATATGCTGAATCTAAACACATTTGATTATGGGACCAGTTTTCAAGTTTGTCCAAGTTGGGGTCCAAAATTAAACTTTGTTTGATTTCAACAAAAATTGAATATATGGGGTTCTTTGATATGCTGAATCTAACCATGTATTTTGATTTTGGACATTGGACCATAATAGGTAAATTAAAAAAATTGAAGTTCTTAGACCACATTCTTTCTGTGTCAGAAACCTATGCTGTGTCAAATATTTAATCACAATCCAAATTCAGAGCTGTATCAAGCTTGAATGCTGTGTTCATACTTGCCCCAACTGTTCAGGGTTTGACCTCTGCGGTCGTATCAAGCTGCGCCCAGCGAAGCATTTTATTATCTATTAACATAAGCTCTCTTTCGATTTTTATAAATTTTAGATTTTACATTTCTGAGTAACAGGATTTTATTTATAAAAGATTGGGGATTTTCCATTTTTCTGACTATAACTCGAAAAATGCTTTGCACTATTTTCATGAAACTTTGGTGAATTGTTAATAGATATTGACATAAGTTCCCTTTCAATTTTTTAATATTTCAGATTTTACATTTTGGAGTATTTGGACTTTATTCATAAAAAAAGGGCATTTTCCAGTTTTCATACAATAACTCATGAATCTCTGGTGACTGGTTTATATCTATTAGAATAAGCTCCCTTTAGTTTTTTATAATTTTCTGATATGACATTGGGGAGTTATATGGAACTTTATTCGTTGAAAAAGCATCAGGCTTATCATGGGCTCATGGTGCAGCTCTTTATTTCAAATGGTCAGTTTTATTTTAATTTTATCAAGAGCTGTTGTATTTAATATCAGGTGTTGAAACCAAAATTCTAAATTGAACTAAGAAGAAAATTGTATTAAGCTTGCATGATTTATTGTATAAATGGTTATAGAATTATAAAAGAGACAAATGATATAGAGGCTTAAGAAAATATAACTAATATTACAGTGTTTACTAGAAATCAACATGACAATATGTGTTATGTCTTTAGTGAAAGTATATACAGCTCGGAAACCAATATTATGATCAGATCCATTTTCATTGGCCAATAAAAAGTAGAAATACAGTGTTCATTTTTGTTGTTGAGTTTTATTAAATGAAGTATATTGCAGACAAGGAATGACTTTTTTTGGAATGGTTGTATTTTGAAATACCATTACATATATTTTGGGTAGACACAGAATCACCTGGATAAGAAATGATAATGAAAAGAGATGAGAAAAATACCAAAAGGAGATTCAAACTCATAAGTTGAAAAACAAACTGACAAAAAATGGAAAATGACCAAAAGACAAAACAGGAAGCAAAACACAACATAAAAAACTAAAGACAGAGCAGCAGGAACTCTACCAAAACTGGAGTTGGTCTCAGGTGTTCTGGAAGGGTAAGCTAATCCTGCTCCACATGCGACATCTTTTATGTTATATTCTCTGACCTAGAAGGTGTGTGCTGTGTATGGTATTATTATTTTGCATGTAATATTTTGTAGACAAGAGATGATTTTCTTGGATTGGTTGAGATACCATTAGGTATTACTGGGGTAGCAACAGAATCGCCAGGGGTTGAGATCACACCTAAAAGTTATATCCTCAGACCCAGAAGGTAGTATAGATTTAGATATTATATGTCTGTTATTGTATTAACAGGAGTCACCAGATTTGATGTCTTTCATGGCTAAATGAGAAGTGTTAAATTTTCAGGTTTACGTTAGTTTGATTATAAGTAAAAGGTCAGCAATATTTGGTGCATAAAAGATTTTTCAACAGGTCATGCCTGCTATGAGCTATATCTCTACTATATTATTGTATAGAATCATTGTAACGTGCACATGAGTCACCTGACCTTGATCTCAGTTCATGGTTTAATGGTCATTATTAAGTCCTATGTCAATATTTCAGTTACTATAAGTAATATGTCAACTATATTTGGATTAGGAATGATTGTAAGGTGTACTGGTAGGTTTCACTTGATCTTACCCTTATGTTCATGGTTAATGATCAATGAGTTCCTTCTAAGGTCAGTTTTTTATGTTTCTTTTTGAATGAACAGTCAATGACATTTTATTTATAGAATCACTGCAAGGTGTGCATGTCTTTCTGACAGGATCACCTGACTTTGACCTAATTATCATTGTTCAGTGATCATCATAAAGTTCTTTAAATACATGTAGTCCATGAATTAATGATGATGGTGATGGATGGCTGCTTAACGTCCAGCAGCAAATTGATATGCATTTTCAGGACAACCTGTTAATGTAATATGAATATTAACCCTGTATTGTACTAGACTATTACACTGAGTCTGATTTTTAATGTGCTAGTTCACAAGGTAACAGTCCGCAGGAAGACATGTCACCTTACCTGGACACATTATTCTGACTCCGAGCAGACCAGTCTTTGTTCTTATTCCTTAATGCTGTGTGCTTAGCAGAGAAGCACCAAATACCAATTTTAAAGTCTTTGATTTGACCGGGATGGGGTTCGAACCCACAACCTCCCGCACTCGAGGCAAACAAGCTATCACAAGACCACTGAGGCAGTTTGAATGAATTAAGCAGGCAAGACAAATCATCATGTGAACTATTATATATTGCTATGTAAATTGTTATTTTTGTAGTGCAAAGTCTTAAGCTAGATAAAACTATGGAAATGTTTTGCTTTACAGGATTTTTATACGACCGCAAAAATTTGCAGTCATATAATGATATGATGTTGTCGTCGTCTGAAGACATTTGGTTTCCAAACAATAACATGAGTATAAGTGAATGGATCTCTATGATATTGAACAAGGTTCTTTACTACAAAAGGAAGGTTGAGATTGATTTTGGGGGTTATTGCCCTAACTGTTTAGGAATTAGGATCCATATAGAGGCCATTTTAATTGTTTCAGGACAATAACTTATGTATAAGTGTATGGATCTCTATGAAATTGTACCACAAGGTTCAATACCTCAAAAAGAAAGTTGGGATAGATTTTGGGGGTTATGGCCCTAATTGTTAATGAATTAAGGGCCTAAAACAACACTTTTCTAATACTTTGTATAAATTGCTTTTTTCTTGACATTACATTGAAGTTTAATTCAAAGTCTTCAATTTTTGGGGTTTATTGCATGGCTTCTAAAACGGTCATATATTCCGGACATTTATAAATTTACTGGACATTGTCCGCCTGGGAAAAGACTTAATTCAATTGTACCGGAAATTCATCTGTCTATAGTCAAAGTTATTATCATACATTTCAGCAGTTTGCATCTATTATAAATTAATTTAGTCAAAAAGATTAAAATTATCAGAAATACATTTATAAATATGATTTGATGAAAAATTAAAAAAGTTTTTAAATGAAAAACCGTCAGAACCACGTTGATTGAACTAGTACACGTGTGCGCATGTGTGCAGGTGGGAAATTTAATTATGCATCCTAATTTCTTCAAAAATGATAAAATTATCATTGATACCTTTATCTAACGTTCATTTCGAGTATTTTCTTGAAGAAATAACGTGGAAAGAGCTACTTACACTCAACCGTGCTTTGTAAACATACACAGATTTTACGTATCCGTCTCTGGTCCATGTTTTACCAATGTCAAGTCAACATCCAGTATTAGGAAAATGTGCTTTTAAGAAAAAACGAAAGTAAAGTTTTTGACAACATTATTTTGCACAAATAAAGAGTCTAAGACAGATATTATACGCTGATGTTGCACACTTCGAATGATGCACTACCAATTTAACAGTTACCGTCAGAACATCAAATTTATATCAAAGTAAAGTTTAATATCGTTTTTGTCGAGCCTGCGACTTTTGTCGTTAGCTAACTTCTTAAAAGCTTTATATTTTAGAAGGTGGAAGACCTGGATGCTTCATACTTTGTATATAGATGCCTTATGTTACGAAGTTTCCATCTGTCACATGTCCATTGTCCTTGACCTCATTTTCATGGTTCAGTGACTACTTGGAAAAAAAAGTTAAGATTTTTTGTAATGTTAATTTCTCTCTTATTATGAGTAATTGGATAACTATATTTGGTATGTGCGTACCTTGCAAGGTCCTCATGCCCGTCAGACAGTTTTCACTTGACCTCGACCTCATTTCATGGATCAGTGAACAAGGTTAAGTTTTGGTGGTCAAGTCCATATCTCAGATACTAGAAGCAATAGGTCTAGCATATTCGGTGTATGGAAGGACTGTAAGGTGTACATGTCCATCTGGCAGGTGTCATCTGACCTTGACCTCATTTTCATGGTTCAGTGGTTATAGTTAAGTTTTTGTGTTTTGGTCTGTTTTTCTTATACTGTATGCAATAGGTCTACTATATTTGGTGTATGGAATGATTGTTAGGTGTACATGTCTAGCTGGCAGCTGTCTTCTGACCTTGACCTCATTTTCATGGTTCAGTGGTCAAAGTTAAGTTTTTGAGTTTTGGTCTTTTTTTCTAATACTATATGCAATAGGTCATCTATATTTGGTGTATGGAAATATTTTATGATGTACATGTCAGTCTTGCAGGTTTTATTTGACCTTGACCTCATTTTCACAGTGCATTGCTCAGTGTTAAGTTTTTGTGTTTTGGTCTGTTTTTCTAATACTATAGGCAATAGGTCAACTATATTTGTTGTATGGAAGGATTGCAAGCTGTACATGTCTGCCTGGCATGGTTCATCTGACCTTGACCTCATTTTCATGGTTCATTGGTCAATGATTAGTTTTCTTGGTTAAGTCTGTATGTTAGAAACTATAAACAATAGGTCAACTATATTTAGTGTATTGAATGATTTTAAGGTGTACATGTATTTCATGTTTGGTTTATATGACCTTGACCTTATTTTCTTGGATCATGTTAAGTGTATGTGATAGTTGTAGTAAAGCTTTATATTTAGGACTATCAACATAATATCAATGATTAGTAAAGAAGGCGAGACATTTCAGCGTGTGCACTCTTGTTTTAATGTCAGTCATTAGTTATATGATGGCCAACTGATTACCATAATTGACTTTTGTTACTTAGTCTTAAAGACCAAACAGCCTATTCATTTTTACCAGTGATTTTTTCTTAAAATTTTGAGTGAAGGTATTTCATGACTTTAGGAATAAAATAAGATGAAAAAAATTGGGGGTCACCGACTTCGTTTCGTCACTATAGCAACCTCAGTTTTGTGTGTTTCCGAAATATGGACATTATTCGGTTGTTATCTAATATTTCAAATAATCCAACAATACCGAACCTAGGAGCATAATTCTTTTTTCACATTAAACAGTATATTTATATCTATTAATTTAAGATTGTAGAGTTAAAGATTCTTGGTGTTTTGATTTTAAAAAGTATGATTTATTTCGTTCCCGCCAATATTAACACATAAGAATGAAAAAAGTTTCCAGTATTAAAAAAATTCTACCAGTGATTTCTTCTTAAAAATTTCAAGAAAGAAAGAACTTTGTGTTATCTTTCAAATAAAGCCCAAAAAACTATATGTCACCGACCTTTCAAAAAAGTTATGAGTAATTTTCATGTTTTTTTTTTCATTTGTTTTCAAGAAAAGAGTTGTCTTTCTATACAACACTGAATCTGACGTCATAGTACAAGTTTCCCGTAATTTTGGCAAATATTGCAAATTGGACGTTTGAAACACACATTAGAATTTACAATAATAGCAACAATATGCAACTTCTTTATTATCTATAATACAAGAGGTCACATTTAAGCACCAGTTTTTGTCAGATCTCATTCTATTGCCCCACTAAACGAGAATCTCAGCTTTGAAATAAGATTTCAGAAACACCGCCCGTGAAATGTAATATTGTTCGAAATCTCCTTCTGCTCCGCTTTGAAAAAAGAAAGTATGTTTTCCCCCCTCTCTCTCTTTGCCAGAATTATTGGAAATAAAAAAAATGAAATGAAATATGACACTGACTACCTTCTAAACTATTAGTTTTATAAGTATTCGTTTTTCTACTTGTTGAAGGCCCTACGATAAAATTCTACGTCATTTTGTCACTGGTGGATAGTTGTCTCATTTGCAATTATACCACATCTTCGTATTATTATTTTAGACATTAGGGTGTTGACGGACGGACAGAAGCACGGCCGGACTAGTGTTTACCCGATGATACAACTTTCCAACTCAGTCGGGCATTTAAAATCATTTCCATCTAATTTGTAGATTCGTAATTTCTAATTATTAAAAATCTAAGAAAGTTGAAATGATAGGTAGACTTAGGTAATTAATTAAACTAAAATGTTACATGTACAAAAAATGTATCTGGCCTATACTAAAATACGATTTCTGTTATTACTCTTTCGTGGATCTTGAATACAGAAACTACAAAGTACAAATAACCCGGAAAAGACGTCTAGTTTAGAATTAAACAATTTTCGTTTGAACTGAAAGGAATAATTTTCCGTTGGAAACTATAAAGTAGTTCTCAAAACAGAATTAATTTAAGCATAAGATACAGAACAAAGGTAACTAAAACAGGCTGGTAAAAACCGTTGTCATATAGTTTTTTTTGCACTAGTAGTCAGGTCAAGTCCGAGGCGATAGCCGAGGACCTTGACATGACTTCAAGTGCAGAAAAACTATATGGCTGGTTATTACCATCCTGTCACGGGCTTTTTGATTGTTACTTTTGTTTTGTATCTGACTTGTACGAAGTTTTTTTTTTATTAGAAAGTAATTATACATTTTACATTTAAAATACGATTGCATAATTAATTGAACACAAAAAAAATGTGCATACTGGTTTATGTATTGGTATTGTGATGTTTGGAAAAAATTAGGGATTTTGCTCTTCTCAGTTCTACAAGCTGTGTGCATTTGGTTAAATGCTTATTTATTTAATACATACAAGTAAAGTAGATGTAGTTTAAAAAGACCTTTAATCTTTAAAAAAAAATGGGGGGGGGGGGGGGGGGGCGGATGGGGCTCATACATTCGTATAAACAAAGAAATATCTTTTGTCGCTTCCATCCCCTATTTTGAAAGTGTGGTGGAGCAATTGTCCCCTTCACCGGCTCATTCTCTCCCCACCACAATCCCCCCCCCCCAAAAAAAAACAACAACAATGAAATCAACAAAACTATGAATAACAGATTTAAGACATTCAAATAGTCAACGACGTCTGAATATGAATTAAGGAGGAAAAATCAGACAAACGTAATTATCATATACTTGGAGTAAATAACTTATAATTTTTACAGTATGATAATAGCATTAAATTTACGCGAATTCCATATTTTACGAAATGGTGTTTAGCGGGCTGATATGAAAAATTTATCACATGCCTCCGGCTATTATCACATGCCTTTCCATAACGTTATCGCATGGCATTCCGGCATTGCTCGGCAAATTCCGGAAAATACACCTCAATGGTACGTTTTCAGAGAAAAAACATAAGAAAGTAGGGTACAAAACAATTATTAGGATACAGGAACATATATAATACAAAATGCAAAAAACAAATGATACAATAAATAAAATTGAGAATGTAAATGTGGAATGTGTCAAAGAGACAACAACCCGACCATAGAACAGACAACAGCAGAAGGTCACCAACAGGTCTTCAATGCAGCGAGAAATTCCCACACCAGGAGGCGTCCTTCAGCTAGCCCCTAAACAAATATATATACTAGTTCAGTGATAATGAACGCCATACTAAACTCCAAATTGTACACAAGAAACTAAAATTAAAAGTAATACAAGACTAACAAAGGCTAGAGGCTCCTGACTTGGGACAGGCGCAAAAATGCGGCGGGGTTGAACATGTTTATGAGATCTCAACCCTCCCCCTATACCTCTAGCCAATGTAGAAAAGTAAACGCATAACAATACGCACATTAAAATTCAGTTCAAGAGAAGTCCGAGTCTGATGTCAGAAGATGTAACCAAAGAAAATAAACAAAATGACAATAATACATAAATAACAACAGACTACTAGCAGTTAACTGACATGCCAGCTCCAGACTTCAATTAAACTGATTGAAAGATTATGTCTTCATCATATGAATATGAGGCACAATCCTTCCCGTTAGGGGTTTAGTATCATACCATCGTAACATATATGAGAAGAACATAACCCGTGTCATGCCAACAACTGGTTTTTAAATAAATGTGTTTAGTGCCGATGCAAAGACCCTATAAGTGAATCAATATTAACGCCAAAATATGCAATCTTTAATGACCTGACAACAGTATCGTAACTATATCCTTTCTTAATAAGTCTATTTATAGGTTTTGTTAGCTTCAGAGGTGAATACTGACATTTTTGTGCTTTATAAAGAATATTTCCATAAAAAATTGGATGTGAAATACCTGAACGTATAAGAAGTCTGCATGTTGAGCTATATTTACGAATGATATCCTTATACCGATGATAAAATTTAGTAAATGTTTTGACTAGTTTGTGATATCGAAAACCCTGGTGTAATAATTTTTCAGTAATACATAAATTTCTCTCGTTAAAATCTAAAACATTGTTACATACACGAGCGAATCGTACAAGTTGAGATATATAAACACCGTAAGATGGTGACAAGGGAACGTCACCATCTAAAAATGGATAATTAACGATAGGAAATGAAAAATCATCTCTTTTATCATATATTTTAGTATTAAGCTTTCCGTTAATGATATAGATATCAAGATCGAGGAAAGGGCAGTGGTCATTGTTAGTATTAGCTTTATTTAAAGTAAGTTCAACAGGATAAATTTCTTTAGTATACATACTGAAGTCGTCATTATTGAGAGCCAAAATATCATCCAAATATCTAAAAGTATTATTAAATTTGTGTATCAGATGTTGTTTCGATGGGTCTTTGCTGATTTTTGTCATAAATTGTAACTCATAGCAATACAAAAAAAGGTCCGCAATAAGTGGTGCACAGTTAGTCCCCATTGGAATTCTGATAACCTGACGATATACGGAATCTCCAAAGCGAACAAAAATGTTATCTAGTAAAAATTCAAGGGCATATATAGTATCAAAGCATGTCCAATTGACATAGTTTTTTTGTTTATTGCTACTAAAAAATGACCTAAAAGAGTTTGAACATATATATTCACATTCTGACTTTTTAAATGCCCATTTAATTAGGTGTGTGAATTTTTTCTTAATGAGAATGTGAGGCAATGTGGTATATAGGGTAGAAAAATCAAAACTTTGAACAGATTCAAAATCACCAATATATGCATGCAATTTATCAAGTACTTCCAACGAGTTCTTGACACTCCAAAAGTAATTAATTCCACTATTTTCGAAGGCCTTATTTGAACAATTTATTATCAGGTTTTTGATTGTACCAAGTGTACTGGTAAGAAGAATAGACAATTTAGTAGTGGAACAATGGCTTGAAGATGAAATGAATCTATATTTGTAAGGTGTTTTGTGTAGCTTCGGAAGCCAATACATAGTTGGGACTTTCATTGTATTTGGTTCTGCTTGTAAAGCGGTAGCTAAAAGTTTATGTTTGTTACAGATGTCGTTTTCTGAAAATGGAGTCAGTTGGAATGTTGGTAAATTGGTGATTTCTTTTTTCAGAACCTCAATGTAAAATTTACGTCAAACAATAATAATATTATTAGCAGCTTTATCGGCCGGGACAAAAACAAATTCCTTGGCTAGTTCTTTTAGTTTATGTTTGATACGAGAAATAGGTTTATTGTGGTTATTGTTAAGAGTAAAATGTTCTTTAAAATGTTGAAAACGTATATCAACTATGCATATTTCAAAGTTTCAAGCATAATTTAGAAAGTTACTTTACAAAAGTTGACTTTTTCAAACAGTGTTCATTATGTTTTGTGGAATTTTTGTTTTATTGTCAATATAAAAATATATTAAACTGTTGTTTTTCTGCTCTTTTGAGGCATATGATAGAAAGATTTCATATTGGATGTATTACATTTGTCGTCCGAAGTCCGTAAACTTTTCACTTTTTTAACATCTACTTGAGAACTACTTTAAATAAAAGGACCAGCATGTTAAAATGTTATTCTTCTCCATTGTTGAAGCATATGATAAAAAGATCATAACATGTCATTTTTCATATCAGATGTATTATCAGCCTTCGGCTCTTGGGCTGATATTGAACCTTGGGCTGATAATACATCTGATATGAATGCCATGAAATAATCTGATAATACAACATGTACGAATATGAAAACAATAAAATAAAGAACAAAATATATAAATACAAAAAAAGCTGTTTTTCTTTTTTTATGGAGAATTGATATAATGAAAAATAATTGATTTTGTCTCGTATTAAATTGTTTGATCAACTTATTTTAGTTTTAGTTGAATTTCATGCAGTATCATAATAAATAAAAGTGAACTTCTTTACAAGCTCGAACAACATTTTACGGGAATCACTTTAAGTCAAAATTGGTGTCAGAAGATCGAAACTACTATAACTATTTTTGTTGGTAGTTTAATTGTGCAAATCACAAAAGTTCAAAATTCTAAGCGTTAAAATTTTGCATTCTTTTTTGTTTGATTTTTACTAATTTTTTGTGGCTGCTGTATATTTTTTTTTTTTACAAAACGTATGTTGACGCTAAAATTTTGTGGCTGCTATATATCATTTTTCTTGACAAAACTATTTTAACGCGTACATCATATTGGAATCCGTGAAATACGCGAAATGTGACGTTCTCATCTGCCGCATTTTACCGAGCTGGACACAACGTCATAAAGCTTTCATGTCACAATCAAAATTAAGTTGCGTTAGCTAATGCGCATAAACAATAGGCTGTTTGGTCTTTAAGGGACAAAAATCGGAATAAGACATAAAATGTCGGGCTGGCTCAATATTTTTTGAAAGCCCTGGTTTATTGATATATGTGAATCTAACTGTGTATTTAGATTTTGAATATTGGGCCCCATTTCTATAAATTGGTCCATATTGAGGTCCAAAGGGTTCAAAATTAAATTTTGTTTGATTTCCACAAAAATTGGATTCTTGGGGTTCTTTGATATGATGAATCTTAACTGTGTATTTAGATTTTGGATTTTGGGCCCAGTTTTCAAATTGGTCCACATTAAGGTCCAAAGGGTCCAAAATTAAACTTCATTTGATTTCATCAAAAATTGAATACTTAGGGTTATATAATTCCTTATTACTTTTTGTAGTACAAAGTCTCGAGTGAGAGGAAGTCTTTGGTTATATATAGCTTACTTACCATCACCAGGAGAGGATGCTACAGAGGAGACAGCCGCTGGAACAACTGAAACCACAAATGAAACCACAACGGAGGTTTGTTTATACACCAGTGGTATTAAACCATTTTAATACTGTGGATTCATTATTATTCGTTGGATATCAATTTTCATGGGTTTTGCGGGTACAGGTGAACAATGGTCAACGAATGACAAATTTTCTATATTTTCTATAAGCCTTGTATGCAGAGATTGGCAAAACCACGAAATCAAATGTCCACGAAAATGGAAGTTTTCCTGAATCTACGAAAATAAATGAATCCACAGTATAGTAAAACCTAAGTAAGGTAAACACTAAAGTCAGCAAAAGTGTTTTAGTAAATTTGTGCATTTCACTATAGCAAATATTTGTGTAAATGGAAAATTTATATAGATTCCAATTAATAATGTAAAATTTGTGTGGAAATTTATTTTTATTAAAATCAATTATTATTTTTAAGATTTATTTGACAGTTTCTTCAGTTATTGATTACAATAAAATACATTTCTTCATTTTAGAATCCTGGTTGGGAGATGGTGGACATGAACAATGCTTTGAATGAAGCAGGTGCCTCAGGACCTGTTAATGATGCTCCACAATTACCACCAGGCTGGGAGATGAAAGTCGATCAAACCTCAGGCAGAAAATTTTATGTTGATCATAATACTCATAAAACTTCCTGGGAAGCACCTCCAATGTAAGGATTACGTCTTCATGTTTTGATATGGGTAAAATCTTGGAACCAACAAGAATTAATACATAAACTTTCTGAGACAATATCCAGTATAAATATCATAAAAATTCCACAGACAAGTCAAGTACAATTATTCAAATTGCATTGAAATCTAGTTATTTCGGTATTAGAAAAATGTGTAAATACATAATGGTTAGAAAGAAAAACTATGTATTTCTTGAATGTTATTTCAGGCCAGCAAGTGGAAGCAGTCTTCCTGACGGATGGGAGGAAAGAATGGATGGGAATGGACGTACAGTTTATATCAACAAATTGAACAGAACAACTCAGTGGGAAATACCAACACAGTAAGTAAAGTAATGCTACATTTAAGGGGAAAGCTCCCTCATGCTTTATTCTTATCAAGTAAAAAGCATTTGGAAACACTTATAGAAATTTATTTGCATGAGATCCACTAATCTTGAGTTTAAAATTCTTGTGATATTTGAAAAGAATTTCTTACAGTCACTGTGAATTAGTGAAGATACGATGCACTAGGATTCCATTTCACCAACTGTTCAAAATGTTTTATGTTTTATACAGGAAGGGAATACTTACTTTAGAAATTTTGATAATTGATAGTACCATCATAATTATTAGTGAATGTTAATGTTTTTTTTTTCACTGTTCAGCAAGAAACATGAAATGCTTCATTTTATTGAAGAAATTTACAAATAGTTAAACTGTATTAATTAGGCCAGCAGTTAGACCAACAACACAGGAAACAGGGGATGCCAGAAGGAGAGCAAATAGAATGTACAGACGACATGTCAGTGTAGAAGATACAATCAGTTTAAATGACACCTCTCCAGCAGCTTCTCCGAGTGCACCAGAGAGACCACCACTGCCAGCACATAGACCAACAGAGGTAATTATAACACTTTATTTCATTCACCTCTAACACCATCTTCAATTGGAATATTGTTTCATACAATGGACTTAATATGAATATGAATTTGATCTCAGTTCTTCATTGGTCAAAATTTAATTATGAAGTCAAATTTTCTTCTTTTTTTTTTGCTTTTTTTACTTGATTTTGCTACTTTGACATCATGGGAACAAAAAAACATGCCTGATTATGTCACATAGAAAGAATACATCTTTTTGAAGATTGTTTTTAAAAGAAGATGAAGTTTGCTTTAATATTATCTCAAATCATTAGAAAAACAGATTCCAACAATCGAATGTCATGTAATGCTTTATTTCTCCATTCTAGACAGTTGAATAACTTGAATTTCAATATTTTATTGTCTGAATTGGAGAATTATTGTATCATGTTGAATTAAATGGTAGATTCTGAATATACACAACTTGTTATTTAACAATGATAAGTTGTAGAGCAGTAAGACCTTTGAGCTATAGATTTACCATTTGTGATTTTGGTTATTGTGAATGCTGTCTGTGTGATTAGTCACAGTCACTGTAATAGTAGATTATTTACAGTAGTGCATGTCTGAAAAAAAAAAGAATTTCAGTGATAAATTTAGAAGAATTGTTATAACAACTTTTAACATAGAAGAGTTTTAGATGTTTAATGTCAAATGAGTAGGAACATTAGCTACTTACCAATGAATGTTTTAGGGTTTACAACCTAGAAGTGGTTCTCTGAGTCTACGACCTACTCAAGTGAGTAACTAAGCTAGTCTCTATGTTTGTGTTGCTTGCTTTGTGGTAACTTATTAACAGGAGAACCTTTGGCATGGTATAGAATATATGTGTATGCTACAGTCTTTAAAGGTTAAAAGAATATCAATTCACTAAATAAATTTATCATCCTCATCTATTCTCTTATGGAAAATAAGACTTGGGTCTTCTATTATGGATGCAAATGTCTTAAAGTTAATCTCTTACTATTGTTATTTCCAATTTAGATGCAATAGAAAAGTTTAGCTCTGGTGTTCTTTTTTGTTTTACTATGATTAATTTTAAACAGTGGTATTGTAAGAAGGGAGAATTCTTTTTAAGTTAAAAGTCTGCTTATTTAAGTAAACTTCATCCTGTAAGAAATGCTTTATTAATTGATAACACTGAGACATGCAATTTTTCTTTCTTCATGATAACTTTTCTTTACTCTATACAGTAAACATTGATAATCAAGATATTGCATATTGAAAAGGAAGTGTTGGTCACATCATATAAGCTATGCACAAGATTTTAATGCTGTCTTTTTATTGCATAACAGTTTAACTGCTTACTTCAATATTGATTAAAAGATGAATTGTTGTTTCACAAGATTTTGTATGAATGTGAACATACATCTAAAGGATGGATTTGCATGTTTGCCACTTTTTATGCCCTCGCCGTAGCGGTGGGGGCATTAAGTTTTACCCTTGTCTGTCTGTACGTACGTACGTCCCAAAATTGGTTTCCGTTCTCTAACTTGAGTTTGCCTTAACCAAATGTTATGAAACTTATACACAATGCTTATTACCACAAAACACAGATCAAGACTGAATTTTGATGGCGTCACTTTAACCATTCTAGAGTTATGCCTCTTTATAAATGGAAAAATTTGAAAACTTTTAGTTTAAGTTCTCTAACTTAAGTTTGCCTCAACCAAATGTTATGAAACTTATACACAATGCTTATTACCACAAAACACAGATCAAGTTTGAATTTTGGTGGTGTCACTTTAACCGTCCTAGAGTTATGCCCCTTTATAAATGGAAAAATTGCAAAATTTTCTTTTCTTTTAAATATCAGGTAATTTTTATACGACTGCAAAAATTTTGCGGTTGTATATTGGTATGACATTGGCGTCGTCGTCGTCGTCGTCCTAAGACACATTGGTTTTCGCACTTCAACTTTAGTTTAAGTGAATGGATCTCTATGAAATTTTACCATAAGGTTCAATACTACAAAAGGAAGGTTGGGATTGATTTTGGGGGTTATGGTACCAACAGTTAAGGAATTAGGGGCCAAAAAGGGGCCAAAAATAAGCATTATTGTAACTTCCAGACAATAACTTGTGTGTAAGTGTATGGATCTCTCTGACATTGTACCACAAGGTTCCATATCACAAAGGGAAGGCTGGAATTGATTTTGGGGGTAATTGCCTCAAAACTTTAGGAATTAGGGGCCAAAAAAGGGGCAAAAAACAAGCATTTTTCTAGTTTCATGACAATAACTTGTGTGTAAGTGTTTGGATATTTCTGAAATTATACTACAAGGTTCCATATCACAAAGGGAAAGCTGGAATTGAGTTTGGGGGTAATTGCCCGAAACATTTAGGAATTGGGAGCCAAAAAGGGGCCAAAAATAAGCATTTTTCTAGTTTCCAGACAATAACTTGTGTTCAAGTGTATGGATCTCTCTGAAATTGTACTGCAAGGTACCATACCACAAAGGGAAGGCTGGGATTGATGATGGGGGTAATTGCCTCAATATTTTAGGAATTAGGGGCCAAAAAGGGGCAAAAACAAGCATTTTTCTAGTTTCAGGACAATAACTTGTGTGTAAGTGTATGGATCTTTCTGAAATTGTACTACAAGGTTCCATATCACAAAGGGAAAGCTGGGTTTGAGTTTGGGGGTAATTGCCCTAAATGTTTAGGAATTTGGGGCCAAAAAACACATTTTTCTAGTTTCCAGACAATAACTTGTGTTCAAGTGTATGGATCTGTCTGAAATTGTACTGCAAGGTACCATACCACGAAGGGAAGGCTGGGATTGAGTTTGGGGGTGATGAATCATAAGGGGGTTCAAAAAAATTGGGGGGGGGGTGGTTTTCCTTTTTAGCTCACCTGACCTGAAAGGTCAAGTGAGCTTTTCTCATCACTTTGCGTCCGTCGTCCGTCGTCCTGCGTCCGTCGTCCGTCGTCCGTCGTCCGTAAACTTTTACAAAAATCTTCTCCTCTGAAACTACTGGGCCAAATTTACCCAAACTTGGCCACAATCATCATTGGGGTATCTAGTTTTAAAAATGTGTGGCGTGACCCGGTCAACCAACCAAGATGGCCGCCACGGCTAAAAATAGAACATAGGGGTAAAATGCAGTTTTTAGCTTATAACTCAAAAACCAAAGCATTTAAAGCAAATCTGACATGGGGTAAAATTGTTCATCAGGTCAAGATCTATCTGCCCTGAAATTCTCAGATGAATCGGACAATCCGTTATTGGGTTGCTGCCCCTGAATTGGTAATTTTAAGGAAATTTTGCTGTTTTTGGTTATTATCTTGAATATTATTATAGATAGAGATAAACTGTAAACAGCAATAATGTTCAGCAAAGTAAGATTTACAAATAAGTCAATATAACCGAAATGGTCAGTTGACCCCTTTAGGAGTAATTGCCCTTTATAGTCAATTTTTAACCATTTTTCGTAAATCTTAGTAATCTTTTACAAAAATCTTCTCCTCTGAAACAACTGGGCCAAATTAAACCAAACTTGGCCACAATCATCATTGGGGTATCTAGTTTAAAAAATGTGTGGCGTGACCCGGCCAACCAACCAAGATGGCCGCCACAGCTAAAAATAAAACATAGGGGTAAAATGCAGTTTTTGGCTTATAACTCAAAAACCAAAGCATTTAGAGCAAATCTGACATGAAGTATAATTGTTTATCAGGTCAAGATCTATCTGCCCTGAAATTTTCAGATGAATCGAACAACCTGTTGTTGGGTTGCTGCCCCTGAATTGGTAATTTTAAGGAAATTTTGCTGTTTTTGGTTATTATCTTGAATATTATTATAGATAGAAATAAACTGTAAACAGCAATAATGTTCAGCAAAGTAAGATTAACAAATAAGTCAACATGACTGAAATGGTCAGTTGACCCCTTTAGGAGTTATTGCCCTTTATAGTCAATTTTTAACAATTTTTCGTAAATCTTAGTAATCTTTTACAAAAATCTTCTCCTCTGAAACTACGTGGCCAAATTAAACCAAACTTGGCCACAATCATCATTTGGTTATTTAGTTTTAAAAATTTGTGGCGTGACCTGGTCAACCAACCAAGATGGCCGCCACGGCTAAAAATAGAACATAGGGGTAAAATTCAGTTTTTGGCTTTTAACTCAAAAACCAAAGCATTTAAAGCAAATCTGACATGAAGTAAAATTGTTTATCAGGTCAAGATCTATCTGCCCTGAAATTTTCAGATGAATCGGACAACCCGTTATTGGGTTGCTGCCCCTGAATTGGTAATTTAAGGAAATTTTGCTGTTTTTGGTTATTATCTTGAATATTATTATAGATAGAGATAAACTGTAAACAGCAATAATGTTCAGCAAAGTAAGATTTACAAATAAGTCAATATAACCGAAATGGTCAGTTGACCCCTTTAGGAGTAATTGCCCTTTATAGTCAATTTTTAACCATTTTTCGTAAATCTTAGTAATCTTTTACAAAAATCTTCTCCTCTGAAACAACTGGGCCAAATTAAACCAAACTTGGCCACAATCATCATTTGGTTATTTAGTTTTAAAAATGTGTGGCGTGACCTGGTCAACCAACCAAGATGGCCGCCACGGCTAAAAATAGAACATCGGGGTAAAATGCAGTTTTTGGCTTTTAACTCAAAAACCAAAGCATTTAAAGCAAATCTGACATGAAGTAAAATTGTTTATCAGGTCAAGATCTATCTGCCCTGAAATTTTCAGATGAATCGGACAACCCGTTGTTGGGTTGCTGCCCCTGAATTGGTAATTTTAAGGTAATTTTGCTGTTTTTGGTTATTATCTTGAATATTATTATAGATAGAGATAAACTGTAAAAAACGATAAATGTCGGCAAAGTAAGATCTACAAATAAGTCAACATGACCGAAATTGTCAGTTGACCCCTTTAGGAGTTATTGCCCTTTATAGTCAATTTTTAACCATTTTTTCGTAAATCTTAGTAATCTTTTACAAAAATCTTCTCCTCTGAAACTACTGGGCCAAGTTAATTATAGATAGAGATAATTGTAAGCAGGAAAAATGTTCAGTAAATTAAGATGTACAAACACATCACCATCACCAAAACACAATTTTGTCATGAATCCATCTGCGTCCTTTGTTTAATATTCACATAGACCAAGGTGAGCGACACAGGCTCTTTAGAGCCTCTAGTTTTTTTCTTTTAAAATTTTCCATTTTAAGTTGGTTATTTCTGATTTATATTTAAAAGCAAATAATAATGATATGGTAGGAGATACACACCAAACAGGATGTGTAAATTATTATATAATAAGTATTGTGCAATAGCAAGAAATTTTCAATTGCATAGTATTGCACAATAGCAAGAAATCTTCAATTGCACAATATTGCGCAATAGCAAGAAATCTTCAATTGCACAGTATTGCGCAATAGCAAGAAATATCCAATATCACAATATTGCGCAATAGCAAGAAATTGTCAATTGTACAGTATTGCGCAATAGCAAGAAATATTCAATTGCACAGTATTGTGCAAAAGAAGATACTTCGTATAAATTGCTTATTTCTTGACAAATTTCAATGTGGTTTTATTCTTGAATTCTTGGGGTTCTTTTATATGCTGAATCTAACGGTGTATTAAGTTTTTGGATTTTGGGTCCCGTTTTTAAATTGGTCCACATTGAGGTCCAAAGGGTCCAAAATTAAACTTTGTTTGATTTCATCAAAAATTGAATTATTGGGGTTCTTTGATATGCCGAATCTAACTGTGTA